GACCACAGAATTCCAGATGTTTCACAGAGTAGCAAAACAGTGGCAGAGTATGATCGTGCTTTCACCGAGTTGGCAAGGTATGCACCTCACATGGTCGACAACGAATACAGAAAAGCTAGGAAGTTTGAGAGTGGACTTCGAGGGCCAATACAAGACCAGGTTAATTTGCTCAACATACCGACGTATGCTGGAGTGTTAGATAAAGCCATCCTTGCAGAAGCCAACCTGAACAGAAGTCAAAGTTCGGGGAAGAATCAGAAGAAGATGCAGACCTATGACAATCGCGAAGAAGAGGCAGACCCGAATGATGCCGAGGAGAAGACAAATGAGGATAGTCCCAACAACGCGAATCCGGAAGGTGGCACTTGGCCGACATGTGCAAGTTGCGGGAGGCGACATTTTGGAGTTTGTCATCGGACAACTGGGGGCATGTTTTGGATGCGGTGAGATAGGTTATCGTATTAAGGATTGTTCCAAGGTAAAGGCTAGAGATGATAAGAAGAGATGAGAACTCGACATCCGGAGTTGTTTTGGGAACAAGGTAAGTAAAGTTTGGGGACCAAACTTCTTTAAGGGGAGAAGGATGTAACAACCCACATTTATGTCTTAGTCATGTTCATGAGCATTTGTATGATTATGACTCGTTAAGCTTGCATTTGCATGTTTATGACTTGTTTTGCCTAAGTAAGGTCCATGCCTTGTTTTGTGTTTATGTGATTTGCCTAAGTGTTGTGTACATGTTTTGTTCCTTCCCTGCTATGCCAAGCCTAGGTCATGTTAAGCCTAGATCATTCCAAGCCGAGGTCATATTCAATCCAGAATTGTCTTGGAACCACTTTGTTTGACCTCTACATTCGCCCAGACATATTGGCCGAGATGTCATTATCTAGGCTAAGGTGTTCATCACCAAGGCCGAGATGTGTACTATCTAGGCCGAGATGCTACCTTTGCACCTATGTGATCTTATCCTGGAGTGGTATAACCTAGACTGAGGTGTGGCACATCTAGGCCAAGGTGTGGCACAGCTTAGTCAAGTGTTGTCCTTCCTAGCCGAGGTCATTGTCACCTTAGTTGCCGAAGCTTTGTCCTTAGCCGATGCCATCACTTGCCGGAGTGCCTTACCGGGTAGCTTGTTAGATACACTTTGTCATAGTCTTGTCTTGTTAATCTATCACCTTTTTTAGAAGAACCAACCAGCCATTGCCACGTGTCCGAGCTGAGTGTTAAGTCAGCCGGCAGAGGGAGAAAACCTATCATTTGTTATATCCTTGTTTTGAAGAAGAGAGAGAAGCTCTAGAAGAGAGAGAGGAGTTCTTGAGGGAGAGTAGATTTCCAAGCTTGATCCCTAGAGATCGAACTGTTAGATCCGTGTTTTAAGGTTAGATTCTTGATCTGCCCATGTTGTTCTTTATATTCATGTTATTGCATTGCATGATTGAATATGATTTGTAAGCCATGCATTGCTTTGAAGTTCGGTTTTAGAAAGAGAAAATAGTATTCATGTATTCTTCAAGAAAAGTCATGTTTTGATCCGAAAGCTCATGCCTAGATCCATGTTTTTTGTGTTTGTTTTCATATGATTTTCAAGTATGGGTACCCAGGTCCATGTTTTCGAACTCATAGCATGAAATCCCAGATTTTTGTAATAAAGAAGTTATGATTTTAGCATTCATATTCTTCATGATCTTCATGTTCATGTTCTTCATGTTCTTCACGGGTGGAAACCCAGATCTCCAGAACTCACTTCCCTAAGTGTAGTCGCCGAGATCACTCTTACCTAGACCTCTCACTTAGGCCAAGCATCGTATCTCACCTTGGCCTACCTTGCATGATCACTTACACCTTTAGTTTGTCTTGTGCGCACCTCGGCATGCAGCCGCACGCCGAAGCCTAGGTAGCCACACCTCGGCCAGGAGGTGTGGGACCTCGGCAAAGACCTGGTTGGTACCCAGCATGTCTTCCTGACATGTAAAACAGTGTTTTGACTTCCAGCATGTTTTTTTCCGAGATCATTTGCATGCATGTAAGACTTGTTTTGAGAAATGCATTCAGTAGACTTTGCCATGTGTTTGTAGGACTTGGACCCTTGCCTTGATCCCGACGTCCCAAGAACTATGTGAGTGGTATTTTTAATAAAGTTATGTTATTAAGTTTTGATAAAGTTTTGCCTTGCTTGTTTTGAAAAGTATTTGTTAAGCATGAATGATGATCCCTATTTTGTATATCAAGTATTATTTTGTTTTGATGACATTCCTGGAAAGTCCCTTGTGTTTGAGGACTCTAAACTTTCGCAGTACTAAGTATGAGAGATCTCTGCCATCAACGGTCTATGAATGGATGGCCCCACCGACGGTCTGGGATACGGGTGGATTTGTCTAATCGATTTCGGGTCGATTATTCCCTTGTTTTGTCTTGTTTTGCCATCGACGGTCTATGAACGGGTGGGTTAGTTTTGTCCGAAATGTCATCCTTTGTATTATGTAGATGTTATTAACATCCAAAGTAAGTAAGTAAGTTTTGTAAGGTCAAGGTTGATGAACTAGATTCATCTCATGTTTTGTACAAGCTATGATATGTATGTTTTGAAGGATCTCGGATGTCATTCATTTAACCGCTTTATTATTTATACCATTCACTGAGTATCCAAGCTCACCCTCCCTATGTATATATGTAGGTAACAAGTAAGAAGTCGGTTACGCCGAGATGTGTGTTTTGTATGCATGTTATGTCGGCAGTGAGGATGTCGGCAATTTTGAAGCTTATGTATTTTGAACATCTCGGCTCGAGAAGCCTTTTACCAAGATGTAATATGTATTTTTGTACTTCATTTTATTTGTATTCAAGTTGTAAAGCTATGTAAAGTTGTATGCCATTCCATTTGACTTATGCACAGCTCTTATGGACTAACTAGATTTGTATATATTGCTTCCGCACTTGTGAGCCCCATATATTTATACTCTGATTGTGTGTGAATTTTGAAAGTTGGCCTTCGGTAATCTCGGATTACTGGCCATCACGGCACCATCCTACTAGGGGCGGTTTGGGGTTGTGACATCAAGGGTGGATTGCTTATTAATCACATGAGATTGGTGAGAAATATGGCAGTCTTAGATATGTGTCCCAGATGCGGTTCAGACAGTGAAGACATGGATCATCTTCTCAGAAAATGTAATTTCTCCAAAATTGTTTGGTTTGAAATTAAAGACACTAACTGGTGGGAGGAGGGCGGCTGTCAGCCTTTTCTTGAATGGGATACTTCCAATTTGAAAAATAAAAGTCTGTTTTTTGGTCAAAAATGGCATGCTGTCGTTATCTTTACACTTTGGCAGATCTGGAAAGACCAAAACCAACTTGTTTTTGAAAACCAATCCACTCCCATTCAAGTTTGTCTTAAGAGCATAAGAAATTATGCTCATAAGATTAATGAGGCATTTTAGTCTGCCCTTCACCCAAGGTTCTCTCGACCTATACTAATTAAATGGAACTCTCCTTCTGCAGGTAAACTGAAACTAAATGTTGATGGCTGTTTAAAAGGGGATCCAAGTCAAGCTGGATATGGTGGCCTTTTGCAGGATGAAATTGGCATATGGCTACGGGGATTCTATGGAAAATTAGGCCATTGTTCAAGTCTTGAAGCCGAACTATGGGCGATATACAAGAGCCTCACCATCCTCTTCCAAAAAGGCATAAAGGAGGTTGAAATTGAGTCAGATTCTAAACTAGCAATTAGCCAGATCAGAGATGGACCAAGCCACAATTCACCATATCGAGCCCTCATTGAATATGCAAAATTTCTCCTATCAAGGTGTAACTGCTCACTGCATCACACTCTTAGAGAAGGCAACAAATGTGCAGATAAACTTGCCAACATAGGAGTTACACATGACGAACATATTGTGGTGCTTGACGATCGTCCTGAGGAACTGAAGGCCCTACTTATAGATGATCTAACTGGTGCTAGTGAGATGAGGGACTAATCTATCTGTTTTGTGTATTAGTTTTCCCTGTCCCCCGTTATTATTGTTTTTTGATCTTTTAATGAATCAAAAAATAAAAATAAAAATAAAAATAAATTGAGAGAATCGAGCGTGACCTACGAGTGTATACCCCAAGTACATGAAATTGGAAATGAATTCTCTTCCGTCAACATTTGACCGTATTATTGGATATTTGGAGTCCATTGTACATCTCATTTTAATAGTTTAAATAATTTAATAAGTAAACTTCATCAAATATTTTATCTTTATAGAAAAAAAGAGATAAATTATAAATACATCTCTTAAGATTTGATTAAAATACGAATTATCCCTGTAGTTTTGAAAATGACATTCCACCCCTTGAGGTTTCTAATTTCGTAACAAATTGCCCATTTTATTAATAAATCACGAAATCAATTAACAATTTTTAATGATATTAGAAATATGTTTCAATTGATAATTTAGGTAATTTTATTATTGTATTAGAGATCAATTATGAATTTTATTTTTTTAGTTAATTCTGTTAAATAAAAATTTTTAACAAGGGAGTATTTGTAATTTTTGAAATCACAAGGGACAATCTGTACTTTAAGCAAACCTCAGGAATGTATTTGTAATTTGTCCAAAAAAATTAAGTTGATCATATATTAATAATTCCTTAATCAGAATATTTTTTTGTTAATAATTTATTTTTAAAATATGATATGATTAAAAAATTATTAATATTCAAAATAAAATACTCAATAAACTCTACACATTAAATAATTTAAATTATCAAAATAAAATTCATACTCCCTCCGTCCCAAAATATTAGTCCCTTATTTCATTTTTCATTGTTTCAAAATATTAGTCTCATTTTAAAAATCAAGGACTAAAATAATATAAATTTTTTATTGTGCCATTATTTTAAATTCATTAATAATATAAAAGGTACAATTATGACATTGATATTTTCAAAAACAATGGTATTACATGCACTAATTAGTGTTACAGTAGTTATGACATTATTATTGACCCCATTCATTAATGACATTACAAATATAAAAAAAAAAAAAAATTATATCACATCATCAATTGATAAATTAATTAACATCCTAATTTGGTACATATAACATTATTCTTTTATAAAAATATACCATCAAAAAATAAATTTAAAATATTAATATTTTTAAAATATAATAATTATATTATTAAAAAAAAAAAATGTTGAAATTTTGAGAGAGAGGAAGTAGTAAATCCAACAAACCCAACCGTACGGTCCAGTCCACGAACACAAACACAGTAACAAATCAAAATCATCTCTCATAATCACCATCACCACCTCCATTCGCGATAATCACCGGAGTCGCCGGAACAGAATAATCAGTCACCGACGAAAACTCACCATCACCATCATCATCTTCTTCGACCATCTCGATCACATCCTCAATCTCCCTCACCACCTCCCCCATCTCCGGCCTCTTCTCCGGCGACTTCTCACAACACTTTATCGCCACCTCCAACAACCTCACCATCCCACTATTCGCCCCTCTCTCCGCCGCAATCTCCCCATCGAAGATCTCCGCCGTCCATTCCTCCCTCACCGCCCTATGCACCCAGCTTCCCAGATCTACACAGTTCACTCCCACCGGAGCCCCATGGGTCGATACCCGACCCGTCAGGAGCTCCAAAACGAAGCACCCGAAGCTCCAGACATCGGATTTGGGGGAGACTCGCTTGTGGATCTGGTACTCCGGCGATTTATAGGAGACCATGCGTTGGGAGGCGATGGGGAGAGCGATGAGGGAGGTGAGACCGTAGTCGGAGACGAGGACGGCGTCGTTTTGGTCGAGGAGGACGTTGGAGGATTTTAGGTTTCCGTGAGCAGCGGTGATGTGTGGCTGTGATGAGATGGGGTTGAGGTGGAGGTAGTGTAGAGCTCGAGCGACTGCGTGGGCTACTGATAGTCTGGCGCTCCACCGGAATGGGATTCGGTTCTTTGTTCCTCTTTCTCCTGTGTATAATATTTGCCATTAATGTTATTATTAGTGAGAGTGGAAAAAGAAAATGTGAAAGATTGTTCAATAAAGTTACAAAGTTCAGAAAATTTGCCATGAATTTTAATCAAATAAAGAGGTGGGGGTGAAAATTCGATCCATGTTTTGTGAGTGTTTGGGTTTATTTTATTTATTTTTTACTTATTTTCATTTTTGGTGATTTTTTTTTTTAAAAAGTTTTAGGCTTGTAAATTTTACTTGATGAGACAGAATGGAAAAATTAAGGCTCTGTTCGGTAGATTCTACCATTATATTTGAGTGTAGTGTTTGTTTACGGTTTTTAAAAATTAATTTCATACTCACTTTTGAAAATTCTGTTCAAGGTAGAAAAATTTGGGCTAACCGGTCGTTCCCCTGGACGTCCGGCCGGTTGACCAGAGCAGTACAAAAAATGTTAAGTGCATTTTTTTTTTTTTTTTTAACAAATGACACATGTTATTTTTTATATTTTAAATAAAAAAATTTGGAATTTTTAAAATTTTTTTGAGTTTTGAATAAAATTTTGAGTTGTGTGTTTGGTTATGAGTTGTAAATTTTTGTATCAAATATCATATGTCACATCAAAAAATTCTATTCAATACAAAACTCTTTTTAAAATTCATTCACTAAATAAATTTTTTACACTCAAATCATAATTTTAAAACTCACAAACTCAAAATAAAACTCTATTTTCAAATCATATTTAAAAAATTCTATCAATCGCAACCTATAAGTTTTTTTTATTAAGTTTTCCAAAAAAAAGTGTTTTTTTTGTGTGTGCTTATTTTGACTTTTTCAAATGTGTTTTTGAAATTTTGATTTGGCAGTACGAAATTTTCGTCTTGATATATTCATAATTTCTTCAGAATGTTTCATTCAATGATTTTTACGTAACTTTTCCAATAATATGATCGAAAAGAAGTTAATGTTTTGAAGCACATCAACAACCATAATCACAATATTAAGGAATGGTAAAATTCCACCTCAAGATTATCTATTCGTACATATGTCATATTCATTTTACAATGCATTCTCAACTATTAAATTATGTAAATATTTTAAAATGTATAATTGTGTAGACATAATTTAATAGTTAAAAATACATTAAAATAAAAGGATAAATAAATTTAAAAATAAAATATAATTCCAGTGGATGTTTACAAAAATATTTTCAAAATCAGTGATATTCATTATAGATATTAATATGTAAAATTATAAATTTTATCATATTTTTTATAATTAATTTTTTAAAAGATCACTGGCAAGTAATTGTCCCTAAAAAATTCCATGCTGCAGAATACAATGTTTCATCTTTTTAGTTCTTTTCCTTGCAAATAAAAAGATGGCAATAAAGGTAGTTGAAGAAGGGTCAAGCAAACTTACCATGAATGCGATTATAAACGTTCCCATTCGAAGCAAATCTATAAATCAACAACTTTTCATTTGTGGAATAGTAGTAAGCAAGGAGAGGTAACAAGTTTGGGTGCGTTAGGCCAACCATTGCTTGCAAGTTCTTCTCAAATTCATTGCTACTCAGAGGCTTCAAATCCCTTAGTCGCTTCACCACCATGGTTACTGCCTCACATAGCCTAATTTTATAACAACTCCCAAAATTCCCTTTTCCTAAACCTTCCGCGGACGCTGTTAGAAGATCATCAAGTTCAAAACCCATTTCCTTATCCATGAATTTGAGCTTGCCTTTCTCTTCTACATCCATGTTCTTGTCAACCTTCTCTTCCTCCTCTTGATCAACAAGCTTCCTTTTCTTCTCTTTCTTCATCTTCCTGGACTTTCTACAGTAGATTATGAAAAGGGCAACAACTAGAATAAGGAAAATAATATCAACAACAATGAAAATGGAAGCGAAGTGAGAATGGTGAGTGTTGGTTGAATTGGGTGTATTATTAGTAATGGTGCAAGGAATGGGAGAGGGTGGGCCGCAGAGTCCAGGATTGTCAGAAAACGATGAGGAGTTGAGGGATTGGAGAACTATAGTGTTTGGTATCGGCCCAGAGAGCCTGTTGTTTGATACATTGACTTCTCTCAAGCTAATTTGATTGAATGCAGGGACTGAGTCAGTTAACATGTTGTCTTGAAGTTGCAATGACTCCAAAAAATCAAGTGTTAGAAGTGAATCTGGGATAGGCCCATCAAACATGTTCCCTGACAAGTCAATTTGAGTCAGCTTGTGATTGTATGAGAAGCCCATCACATTCCCCGATATTGAATTGTTCCTGAAGCTCAAGACTGACAGTTGAGTGAGGTTGACAAGCGCGTCGGGCTTGATATTTCCAGCCAGGCCCATGTTTTCTAGTACAATCCCCGTGACTCGGCCATCGACACATTGTATGCCAAACCAATATGGGGGTTTGTTCTTGTAGCACATGATGCTTGTCCAGTTACTTTTGAGAAAGGGGTTGTTGAATTCAGACAAGAGAGCCAAAAGGGCATTCCTTTCCGTTCCATCGAAGTCATTTGGAAGATCATCCTGTGCATTAACAGGGTTGTACATTAATGCAAGAAGAGCCATAACAAGAATGGAGGTGAAGAATTGAGGACAGCTCATTGTGGAATTCAAAGTGTGAAATTTTGTGTGGGTTTAGCTAAGAAAAGGCATCATACGGATAGAAATATGGGAGATATATGTAATTATTAGAGCCATTGTTGTTCATTGTTGAAGAGGAAAACAAGAACAATTGTGACTGTGTAGTTGTTTGTATTAGAGTCTCAGCTGAGATTCCTAGGAGTGCTTTGCTGTACTAAACATTGTTTGAAGATTTTCCTATCCCGGCTCTGATGGTTCTGTCAACTACCAATGCATATATATAATTTAATAATGTGCCTTGTTAACAAGTGTTTTTAGGACACAAGTAAAAGATAAAATATTTATAAAACACAATACATTTTTTACTAACTTCAATATACTTTTATTGAAATCAATATACTCTTTAATATTTTTACATGTTTTGAAGACACTTTTTACACACTTCTCAACATTAAACACTTAAAAAGCACTTGTTGGCATTTGCCTTTAATTAAGGGTTAACTATATTTTTGGTTCGCAAACTATGAGCCTTGTCTAATTTTGATTCCCATGTTTAAATTGTGTCAATTTGATCTCAATGTATAAAAGTATGTTTCAATTGGCTAAATTAAAATACTTTTATACATTAGGAATTAAAATGACACAAAACTCATACTTTATGGACAAAATATATAATTAATCCTTTAATTAATTGTTAAGTTTATCTCCAGGCTAAAAATTGTTTTAGAGGGTCTAGTTTGAGTTGTTGTCACTTTTTATTTAAGTGATTACAACTGTTCAATTTATAGAGCATGTCAAATGAATCATTAATATAAAATATCAAATTCATCATCCGCATGAGTTGTTTATGTTTCTGTGTAATATATATATATATATATATATATGTGTATAAATGTCTAACCCAGACGGCGCCAAATTGTGTGGGTAATTTTCTTACCACACTGCCCGCCTAGTAATCAGCTGGAGAGCACTGGCAGAATAGATGGCTTTAGTAAACCTGTAACAGTAAGAAAAAGGCTCCGGCGGTGGCTCTTCCACCCGGGGCCACTCCGACGATCAAGTCAGTATGTCTCTCAAAGATAATCAAGTGTTAAACTCACAAGCTTGAGTATAAAAGTGTGTACCTTAGACCCATGGGGGTGCCTCTCTTTTATAGTTAACTCAATCCAAGTCCCACTAGAAGCATGGCTTCTATAGACTTTAATTCAGTGCTTACTTAGGATTTCTCAAGAGATAAAGATAAACTCCCTAAGAGCTTTATCCTTATCTTGGCTAAGTCCCCTCTTTGTCCTAGGACTCTTGTCCATTATCCGCTTATCTCGGATTCCGATATCTTTGGAGGTAACCTCGAAAATTCCGCGATCACCTCGGCGTGACTTCCACGACACGTGGCACTTTGGCTGATACGTCGGCGTCACCATGCTATGTGTTGGTACTTAGAAAATATATCCCCACAACTGCCCCCTAGGTTCTATTACCTCGACATTCTGAGGTGATGGAACCTATATCGATATTTTTTTCTGCATAGTGGCTCAAAAACTGTTTGGCCGAGATAATTCATTTTCAAGCCGATGTGTTCTCTTCGGAGAACAAGAATTCAAATGAACTCCACCACGCGCATGAGCTGTCATGCACATCTAACTGTTGCTTTCACGTGCTTTGTCTTCATTGGCCCGTGTCAGTGACGCAGCTGAAAGTTGTCTTTCACTCGTCTGCGCCGTCTGACGTGTGCGTTGCTCCAGGCGTAATAAATGCCCTGCTTTTGCCGCCGTTTCAAGTTTTTTGATAAAACTTTTCTTACCCTCTTCCTTTCTCCACTTTTTGCATTTTGATTTCTTGCTTTCTCTCTCTCTAAAAGCTCTAGCATTCTTCGAATCTGCCATTGCTCTAAGCCCCAAACTCTGCGATCGTCTTTATTCTTCCATTCCCGCGAAGCTTTTACCACTGTTACAACTATCGTCTGATCTCGGCGAATATCGCTCCGACTTCATTTTATTTGGTAAGCAACTGGCCCCTTACCCTCTTTTTCTAATTCTTGATTTTTTCTGAAGTTTCTTGCCATTACTGTTCTGTTTAAGCATTATTTGTGAATTATTCACCTGAATGCGTCTTGTTTTATGATTTTTCACATGCCATGAACACTTTGCACTGTTTCACCACTGTTCTTGGCCCTTAACCCTTTGTTTTCTTCGTGTTCTTGATAGCCCATCCCTGTTCTTGTTTCTGAAACTTCGCCTTTGTTCTTTGTTTTCTGTTTTTCCTTTCCAGATCTATGCCTTTGATCTTGATCTTCATAGTTCTTAGGCTTGGGATTTGTTTGTAGAACCTTTAATTTAGGGAAAACTGAAACAAACCGTATCAATACTTACTTAGGTTGTTGCCGAGGTTCCAATAACTTTTTAAGAACACCTCCTTGCTGAAACCTAGCCCTCTGACTTTAGGCCGACGTTATGGGTATGTGGAGACATCGGGTAAATACCCCAACAAAACTCGAATACTTTAGGCAGGAGTTCTCCATCCCAGCCGATGTTCACCTTAGGCTAGCTGGGGATGGTGATTCCATCATGCCCACAGATCATACGATGCCCTTTCCTATTGTAGCCTTTACTGAATGTGGACTCCGGCTTCCACTCAATCCCCTCTTTCGCGAGGTTCTCCACTACTATAGGTTGAACCCTATGCAACTTACCATCAACTCTTATCGAGTGATTAATGGAATCATAGCCCTAGCTAGGCAAGAGAACGTTAGGATCACCCTTGCTGATATCCAATTTTGTTATACCATGTGCCCCCTTAACCTGAAGGAAAGAGGTTATGTCTACTACCTCAAGCCGAGGTCCACCGAGTTCAAAATTGTAGCCGACCTCCTGGATTCCAACAAGGGAGCCAGGGATGACTTTGTCATTGCTTCGGAAAATTGGGAATTTGGCCCAGACGAAGATGTTCATCTCTACCCTCTTCCTCGAACAGTTAAAGAGGGCAAGGGTAAGAGCCCAGCATTAATACTTAGTTATTTCTAAGTCTTTAAAACTTTGTCTGTTTCTAATGTCTGTTTGTTCTGCAGATCTTCATCAGCCACCAAAAAACTTTCGCCAATCGTACTTCCCAAGAAAAGATTTAAAGAAGCTCCTTGATCTTTCAATCCACAAGCGCAAGGCTCCCCTGTTACTGAATTTTATTCCGACATACAAATCCACACTACCCGATGTCCCAAAAAGGAAGAAAAAGAGTCTTTCTCCACCTTCTGCCACAACTCCTCCCATTGTTTCCACATCACGAGCAGACGAAGGATCCACTTCTGACCCAGTCGATCTGCCATCTACTTCAGCCCCATACTTAGTCCCAATTCCAGAAAGAAAACGTCGGCGTCGACTTGTCAAGACTGCTGAGATGGGTCGCCCGAAGCCTATTGCAGTAGATCTTTTAGCCGACCTTCCAGCTGATGTCAATGCTGCACCGACCCAATCCATGCCTCCACCGAAGGCAAAAAGAATCAAGAAGGCTCAGCCCAAGGCCAAAGCTACTGAGGTTGAGGCTGAGGATGCTCTGCCCATCTCACAACTGGCTGAGAGCAAGAAGAGTGCTTCTACTTTTGCCAAGAGGTCTGCTGAGGCCCAACCATCAGGTTCCACTCAATCGAAGAAGCCGAGGTCATCGTCTGCGACGACCTCAGGTTCAAAAGTACCAAGAGTCCCCTGGAGACCAGAAATTACTCTGGAAGATAAGCCAGTCCTAGCCAACGACAGTGCCGATGACATAAACGTCGGCGTGGCCCTAAGTACTGCTCTACTCCTCCCAAGCGATCTTGAGCGAAACGCCAAGATGAGTGAGTATGAGAATTACGCCTTTATGCTGCAACACTCTGTCCAAGTAAGTGCCTTGCTTGGAGTTTTCTACTTTCTTTCTGTTTCACACTTAAAATTTTTTTTGTAACACTTCTGTTTTCTTTCAGGCCATCTAGCATGCCCACTCTTTCTCCATGCAAGCTTTCGAAACAAGGGAGAAGTAGGCCGACATGAAGAGGGAGGTTTCTGCCCTCAGAAAGGAGAACAAAGCTATTCTGACAAAGATGAGGAAGCTGGAAGATCAGGCCGAGGTTGCCACTAAGGCCCAACAGATGGCCGAAGAAAAAGCGGAATCTGCTGAAGCCATCAAAAAAGTTGCCGAGGCGGAGAAGAAAGATGCCGAGGTAAAAAAGGCTCAAGTCGAAAAAGAGCTCGAGCAGGCCCTGGCCACTAAAAACGCCGAAATTACTAAAGCCGATGAAAAAGCTTACGCCTAAGGAATGGCCGATGTTGCTGAGGACTACAAACTGTAAGTTAGGCAGGTATGCAACAGAGGCTTTTCCCTTGGTTGGATGTCCCTGGCCAAAAAGCTCAATGTTCCTGAAGATTCTCCTCTGCACAAGGCTGAAGCTATTCCTCTCCCATTCCCTCATCCTGCTCCATCTTCAAGTCAAGCTGAAGATGAGGCAGAATCTGAGGCTGATGATGAAGATAATAATGAAGATGAGGCCTTGGTGAGGAAATCCAAGGATACTACTGAGGCCAAGTCCCCTCCTTCAACTGAGCAAGTCATGGACTTAACTTTGGATGAAGAGGGTGACGAGGTTGTGGAAGCGCCTAGGGAGGCTGTTACAGGGATATTATCATCCGACCTCCTTTTAGCTGAAAGAAGTCTTGACAAAACACTTGCAGAGATTGATGCCGAGCTGGCTGCAGAGATGGCTGCCGAAGTAGTTCCCCAGGAATCTGCCGAGGTCCAGACCCAAATTGCTCCTGAAGCTGAAGAATCATAACTTTCATGTCTTTTGTACTTTTTTGTTTTTTTTTTTTGGACAATATAAGTTTCTTTGTATGGCCGATGTGCCTTCTTCTGAACAGTTATTCTTGGATTTTTCCCTCTTTTATAAAGGACTACAACTGTATTGTCTGAATGCTTCAATCTTTTAATTTCTGTTTGATTTGCTTCTGCATGGTTCTGTACTTAGAATATTTTGCATGCCTTTCCCTTTTGCCTCATTTGTGCAATCTTCTCGGGGTTACGTACTGTCACGACCCAAACCCGGCCCTATGGGTTTAGCACCGTAACCGGCCAGTAATCCGAGATTACCGAAGGCCTGCTTAATAGTAGTAC